AATGGTGTTAGAAACCTAAATATGATTTTTGATTATCTAGACAGTGATACCCCACTCGACATATTTTGTCAACTTATTTTTTTTTACTTCATCACACAATGGCGCCTAATTTTGCCCATATTGAATTTTGATTACTATCATATCTTTAGTAGCACTCCCATGATTGAGACGAATTGATTGATGTATGAATCATCAAAATCGGTCCAGGCGTATATATAGACTGTTAAACACATAACCCTGTCTGCGCGTCGCGCGTCGCGCTTCGCGCTCTTGCATTGCGCAGCCGGGTAAAAAGGGTCGTTCACAAAGTATTTGAACGCTTTAAAAGAAAAATACAAAGAGAACTATAAATTGATAATAAATGAGATTGCTATGGTGCTCTACCTAACGTTATGAAAATTTTATTATGCGCCTTTAACCCACCACCACCATTGTTCAAAACAACAGACGGGAATTACTGCTTTCTTCAACCAGCGATATAAACGTTATTGATTGGTATTGTATATAGGGTGATTAACAACATTTGAAGTTAACTTCTGGCATCTACATATTGGGTTTCTGTGAATTATGTAGGTATATCAAATTATGAGACTAGGATATGACACTGCATTTGTGTATATCACAATCTTAGAGCCGGACGTTGACAATAAAATGCAGCCACTGCCAATTTTAAATAGTCGACGAATAAAAGTAAATGAATTTTATATTTACTGCTAAACTACTAAAAAGATCATAAACGAAAGATGACTTTATGAATAAGTCCTAGTTTACTATAAAATTTACATACATTAGATATTTATGTAACGAGTTGATTTAACTTCACACGTTTTAAAGTCTCTACATGTCTTAATAAATCAATCTTTTAGACCACCGCAAGGTACTTAATAATTCCCGCGATATTAATTCCCTTACTGAAGTAACAAGACTACGGTATATACCGTCTTAAAATACTAACTAACTAAAAATTGTGAAATAAAAAAGGTAAATTTAAAAAATCAAAAAACCCCACTGCTTAATTATACTTCAAATAAAAACTGAAAAGAAAAAAACATGTCCAGTAGTCTATAATTCTTTTAATAAGGAACAAAGCTACTTTAACAGTCGGGACCCATTATTGAAAAATATTATGTATTCTTGAATATCTAAAGGGTTCCGACTGTTAAAGTAGCTTTGTTCCTTAGAGAATTAAAGAATTATGCAAACTCTTATTGAGAAAAAAAATGAAAATGAAACGAGCAAGAACAACTAAGCATACAAAGATTCCGGAAGCTTTGTGATGGTGGTTTAAATATCGAAGTACAAATAATGTGCTAATAAATGGACCAGTTCTTCAACAGAAAACAAACGTTTTTGTTCAGCGTTTTGGTAAAGATTTCGTTTGCTCGTCCAGTTGGATTCAACGTTTCCGAGCTAGGCACGATATCGTCGGCGGGAAAATGAGTGGTGAAGCTGCCAGTATTGATAGTGGTGTGGTTAAAGAATGGATGTCGAAGAATGAAAAATGACCTACGATATACGTAGACTACGGACCAGAATTTAACGCATTTTTAACGCAGGTGAAACTGGACTTATTTAGACATGGTTTTAAATTTCAAAGGAGACAATTATTCTGGTGGCAAATTGGCGACACTGACGATCATGGTTGCAGCAAATATGACATGATCCTGTAAATGGAAGCTTTTAGTTATTGGCAAATCTAAGAAATCGAGATGCTTTAAAAACATACGCTCACTGCCGGTAGCATATGAAAACAACGTGAAGTCATGGACATCGGAAATTTTTGAAAGATAGTTGCGAAACTGGGTCACTGAATTAAAAGCACACAATAAGAAAATTCTTCTTTTGGTTGATAACTTTCCTGCTACTGATGGCAGGCACTCTAAAGCATACCATTCACTACAGGTACCCGGACCCGACTCTCGACTCGGACCCGACCGAGACCAATCCAGCGTTGCCCATACACTGTACGAACCCTCCACTCGAAGTGTCATTTTGGAGAGCCCTCATCGGCGAATATTGATTTTATCAGAGAATGTTAAAAAGAAACGTGTTTGGACAAAGGAGTAATTAAAAAAACGAGCAACGTATAGTCATTTAAATCTAAGGTGTATTCAGATATGTGAGCCTCCCGATTTCATAAATTATATGAGGATGGACTATACAACGTTTCAGGAATTGTTGGAGATGATAACTATGATGATGATAACTTGATGATAATATGACTAGAGTCGGCCGACTAATCGGCCGTGCACACACACGCACGGATTGGTCGGGCCCGGCGGGGGTTGGACGGGCGCTCGCGTGTCGCGACCACAGACCGGCGATCCCAACACAGACCCATTTGACAGTTTGGCGTACCGGTTCGTCGCTTCCATACACTGGCGGATAAGTCGCAGCACAACCGATGGCGGACAAATCCGCTGGACAGGTCGGTACGTGAATGGGATGCTTAAAGTCGTATCTACGCCTATCTATTACTTCAATAAATAAATATTTAAAAGTTTGACATACGTCACTTGAGGTTTTCTCTATTTATGTCATGAACATTAAATAAAACTAAGTCTTAAAAAATTTGATTTGGATACAGTATAAGATAATAATAATAATTGTAAAAATAATATTCTCTAAATTTAAGTAGCCTTTTGTAATTTGAGGTCTATCTATGCCCGAATTCTTTTTTTTGTGAGAGAACACTGAAACATAAGCCGAATCTGGAGTGAGAGATGGCCACACTTTTCGATTTGCATGATCAGTATTGCCAACACGGAGTTATTAGAGCTAGATTTAGCTCTAAATTAGCTTTTTAGCTATAAAAATTTTGGTCTAGCACTTTAGCTCTACTTTTCTGGTGAAGTGGAAAGTCTTCAGCCAGTTAAACTAAGTTAAAAATTTATCAAGAAACAGATTAAACGAAGCAATTGTTTTGACAAGCAGTACGCCTATTCGCTAACTGCTTTTGACAGATGGAAATGATAATCACCGAGCTATTTAGTGATCCACTGCTGCTTTATTATAACGCCACTCAGATACTTGTTCTGAACAGCATCAATGGATATGCAATTTTCTTTTTAGTTACACACTGTAAGTGTCAAAAAAGCTAGGGAATATTCAAAAAAAAATAGAACTGGTCAGGATAAAAAAAATACTGCCCCAAAAGAAGTCTTCAACAAAACTGGGACTTTAACCTACAAACAAAATGGTGATAGTAGCGATGTAGCTGGTTTCAGTAGTGGCTAAAAGATTGCTTGCTCAGTGGTAGTGAGTGGCCTACAAGCACAAGAGCCGGAGTCGGCAACTATTGTTTTAGTCGAATTCATATTGAAAAAGATTAGCTCTCATTAAAAATCCCGAGTTGTCAACACTGTACATGACAGTGAATAGTTGCCTCTGATAAAATTTAAGATAAATAAATCCCTTTTTACGAGTTTTTAATAAATGCTAGTCTGTGTGGAAAGAGAATGGGATTTAGATTGGAGGGCGCTGTAGTGCTTTTCTACCGTATTTGTAAGGTTTTACCCTTGTTAGACATGATTAAATACAAAAAACCGCAAGAAATCATAACAACAAACAAATCTGTATCAATACAAAACTTTGACGTTTTACAGATGCTGGGTTTGATTGCTAAATAAAAATCTTAATGTTAGTTCTGTTATTATAAACGCATTGACTTAAATTAAAAGGGGAGCCAATGGCCCCTTAATATGAATATATAAAAGGAGCCACGATTGCGGGTAAGTTTCCAGATTTAAATTATGTCACGCCATTTTGCCAAGCCTGCTCTCACCAAAATTCTTTTGTTTCAGCTCTTTTCTTTTTCTTCATCTTTACTTAAAATTTCATAATTTAAAAATTTAACCTCATCAAACCTTAAATTATGGCAAAGATGGATTATCAAAGGAAGGTAACCAATCTCATACCAAGAAGCTAAGGGTATGTACTTTGAATAACAATAAATTGTTAGAAGAGAAAAGGATGTCTCATTAAACTCCTATGTCAAAACTGGCCTTGCAATAAGAGGTTTGATGTTCCCTCGAAGATATTCAGGACATAACCTGAAGATGTGACCAACTTCCAAATGCAGAATGCAGGATTCAAACGCCTCTTGACAATCTCCTCAGATGATGTGACTGATGATGATGAAGAGGGCAACATGTCTTCGGCTAATTACCCCAAATTATGACCAGCTTTATCTACTATTGAAGCGGAGGTGTTTATTGATGTGGATATTTCCATTGCAATTTGTGCACCAGCTATGGAAGATGATATTGTACAAGAAGTTCAAGAGGAAAATGATGAACAGGAAGAGACTGAGTGCACAGTGCCAACTTTGAACGACAGTCTCAATGCCGTCAGTGTATTTATGAAAAAAAAATCTTTTTAATGAACAGTTTCAAATACAGGGAAATTATGATGATACATTAATACAAATTCAATGTGAACTACAAAGTGCGTACACCCGACAGAAGTGTTCAAAACAGACTAAAATTAAAGTTTTATGTGAAATAAATAAAATGTAGTTTTTTCTTATACATGAATATGAATTTTTCATTTTTCCCAAAGGTTGACTGGGAGAGAATGCTTTTAGCTTTAAGTCCGCCTTTCGTACCATTGTTATATATTTTGGTCTATAAAGTTTAAAATAAATAAATAATCATAGATTCAATAATACTTCAACTTCACCAGCTGTTACGACTATAAGTTTGATGAACTCTCTTTGATGTTTTTATAACAGATTTTGACTGAATTTCGTTCATTTGTATAGCTAATATGCAAATAAATTTTTGAGTTATTATGTATAGAAATATATTATTTTGCATATGATAAATAAAATTATTTGTAATATATTGTAGCAATACTGTCTCAGTTGCTACCAACTGTAAAAAAATTCATAATTCAGGAAGGCAATCTGTATAATGACAGATAACTGAAGTCCAGTTCCTGGAATGTTTCTGTATTAAAATATAACAGACTTTGTTTCACACAGAAAATTAATAACTTACAATAATTCTGGAGAGATACATGTTTAAACCCGGAGGATCATAATTTGCACCAATCACAGAGATTTCAGGATACTTTTGCTGTATTATGCCTGCATAATCTTCAAAAACTTTTCTGTAACCACATGAGTAACTGCAAAAAAAAAATCCTTTGTAACATTTATACCAATTTTTCAGATAATATTTGAACATGACATGGGCGTTTTTAGTTGTTTTGGTTTTTAGATATCCGATTTATGTTTAGATTTGGTTTTATTTGCTATTATAGTTTTTGTAGTAAACAAACACACACTAAGCTATAAGTAAAAATACATAATGTTACTGCCTAATCACACAATTACAGTTTGTAAGTACTGTATCATAGGACTATATTGATCGCACATATTCAATGGCAATAGATTTCCACTAACAACAAACCAAAATTGGAGTTCCCAAATTAGCTCCATCTTTTTTACTCCCCTGTGTTACAATTGGTTAGAAAGAGAAAGCTAATTTTACTGATCCCCAAATTGTGAAAAAATTTCTTACTTTCTTTCTAGCCACTAAGAGTAGAAAAGATAGATATAATTTTATATCTATCTATTCTAGTGTCCGTGATGCTAGCGTAGTACCCACGATCAATATACGGTTTTTCGTTATGCCATTAAATACTGCATAAATAGTGCCAAATTAGTGTAAAAATTAAATAAATCCTCTTTACTTTTACTGTTAGAGGCACTATTTGACACACTATTTATACATATAGAATTGATAACGAGAAAAGTTCATTTTCTGAGAACTATTATGGGTACGCCAGGTTGACGCCAGCTAAGAATGTTTAGTTCAATATCTTTGGTCCTTTAAGAGTATTGATTATGAAATTTTGTAAAGCCAGGGCACTATTTGCGAACTATTTTTATGTGTCAATTTCGTTGCTTAAATATATGCCGTTCTTGGGGTCGGCCATGGGTACGCTAGCTTGACATCATGGTAGCGTACACAGTAAAAATGGTCTTTATTTCTTAAATTAAAGAGGCACTACTTTTTACACTAATTTGGCACTATTTACGCAATATTTAATGGCATAACGAAAAACCGTATATTGATCGTGGGTACGCTAGCATCACGGACACTCTTTTCTACTCTTAGATTTACGTTTACGCACACACTGACAGTATGTTTGGTGGTATTACATCGTCAGTGTTGAGGCTCCGTTAGATTTCTGAGATCAGATTTCTTGTTAAGAAATCGATTTGGGTTTGAAATCGGATTTTGGATTCATTTTGATATATCGGACGCATACCTAGAACATGACAATGGGTGCTAATCAACAACTAGTGAACTGTAAAAATATCTTTGAACTAAATGGTGTATTGAATGCAGGTATCTTACCAATAATAAATGTTCATAATGTGTCCTACACCTTGTCCAATTTTACTAATGCTTTCTGCCTCATTTTCACTTGCCTGAACACAGTAATCCGAAGATATAACAAGACACGCAATTGCTAAGAAGATGAATCCCATAGTTGAACAAAAAATACAGGATAGCGCCATTGTGGCCTAGACTTTTTATTCGATACTAATGCAAAAAAAATAAATAAATTAGTATTACAGCGTCAAGATAGTTATAATATGGGCGTTATTATTTTATTCAATTCAATCACATTTAATATCTTTTCTGAGATAGAGGTGTCCGCTGTGTCCGCGATAATGACATTGACAAGTAATTGGCAATGACAACCACAGATTACGACAGTGGTCTCAATCAGTCTTTGTCTCATGTGTTCTATTGATTGCTCATCCTTTGGCATTCACAGTGGTCGCCTCATAGTGATCCATCTGCTGATGCATCTGGCAATCCGCTGTCGTATAGAGGGGTTTTTGGCGGGATTTTGTCGTGTGCGGTTAGCGTCTTATTTGAATTGTTCTTAAATTCGTTCATAGTGGATATTGTGAAAGAAATTGGTGTGGTTTTGTAATACAACCGTCTGCGCAACTGAAGAATTAGTGGAATCTGTAAAATATACGCTATTCCGATAACGTGACGTGACAACTTATTTGTTGTGTTGACTATCTCACAGAAGCTTATCGAAAAAGCCAACTTGTTGACAGTTCGAGCCAAACACTCCAATAAACATTAAAATGCGTCACACCGACATTCTAATGTAAAAAAAGAGGTGAATAAAACAGACTAGGTTGTATGAGCATTGTTCCCTTTGCCTTCTCTGAAATGAGAGAATCTTAAAAAAGTGTGGGCACAACTGACCTGAAACTGACAGTGTTGCCACCTTGGTAATTTTTCCACCAGAACAGATGCTTTTTCACGGCTTCTAGCGGTAAATTTTCAGAGGTTGCTTTCCAATTACAGAGCATAATGCGACTCAGTGCCGCACAATGCCCAATTATGCTGATGCTTAATTGGAACGTGAATTAGTTTTCAAATGCACCAGCAGAGTGCGCTAAGTTCAGTGTTGAAAAAAAAAGTCAATGTTTGTACCTTTTTTCCATACTTATATTTATTTTTTAACAGTTTGAATGAACTTTGATTATTTAAAAGAAACTATTTAATGAAATGAAAGCTTTAATATTTTTTCAACAATAAATAATATTACTAACGATAACATAAATAAAACATTTCGATCAATGCCAATTTACAGAAAAAACACTTGTTAATTTTCTGTCTCTAAGTTGGTACGATTGCACGTATCACACGAAAGCATCACTTTTGAGAGTGCTCATTTGTGCGAAGCGTTGCTGTAGTTGGAACACTCAACGTTAAGCATTATGCCGCATAATGCGCTATAATGCTGTAATAGGGAAGATGCATATATAGTATTTATGAAAATTATATGATTAAAATGTTAAAAAAATATAAAAGAAATGCCACTACAACGTTTTTATTTTACATAGATGTCGATTCTGGCATGATTCTCTAAACCTAAACTTAAATTTGACAACAGTGCATCCTTGTCATTCACTATGCAGAATGACAAGGAGAGGCTGATGTTAAATTTAGTTTTAAGTTTAGAGAATCACGCCAGAATCGATACCACTATGTTGTTTTTTAACAATTATTACGAATTAAAAATACTTGAACCGGAACGTATTTTAAAACACCAATCAGCGTTTAGTGACGTCACTCCTGTTATGACAACTTCTTTGAGGTTATGGTTGTTAAAGTAAATATTATTTTATGGAAATATTTATTGCGTTTTTTACATTTAATAAAAATGGAAGTTGCGTTCACATCCGCATCAAAGCAGACTCCAGGAATTTACCAAGAGTTAGCGTTGACATGGTTATAACTTTTTTTGTAAAAGTGCAGAGTTTTTAAGTGTAGAAATGAAAGGGACTAAATTACTGCGGTATGTAAAAAATCGTAGTTGTTAAACTTCGTATTTTATTCAGCGGCTTCTACAAATCTTACGGCGATAATGCAATCGGCTATGTCCAAATTAAAAGAGATGGAGAATTATGTACAGTAAAAGGTCGAGATCTCCGGAGCATAAAGTACGTAAAGAAGGTTATCGTGTTACAGTTATTTTAAATGAAACACAAAGCTTGGTTCAGTCCTGCCAATGTGAAGATTGTGCCACACATTTTAAACTTTATCTAATTTTCGACGTCATTCTCCAACTGTAAAATTAAAAATATGTTATAGACAGGTTTTGTAAGTATTAGGTAGGTTACTAATGCGTTTTTACGTACAAGCAGATTAATTAAGCATATAACAAGTATATTCGCCGACTTACGTCAAAGTGATCTTCACAGCATCGAATAATGGTCTTTGGAGAATAATCGTCATTTCTCTTCGCAGCTTCAAACCACTTTTTTTTCAGTTTTTGGTCAGAAGTTCCAGTCAAAAACAATTTGTTTGGAAACTTTGTTGAAGTAGATTGGCACAAAACATGAGTCAACACGCTTTTTTTCGGAATATTAGTGGTATTGTTATGATCACATGATGTTGATGGATAGTCCATTTTAAATTTTTTCAAAAAAATATTTCGAAAGTCGATAAAATATGCAAAAGTATGAAAATTTAAAGCCCGCGACGAACAAGTACGACCAGTGACAGACAGGAGTGACGTCATCGCAACCATAGGTTCGTTTTCGCGCGAAAATTTAAATTGTCAATTTAAAACCGCATTTTTTCCGATAAATCGCAATGTTTTAATTTTTTAATATATCTGTGGTTTATTCTACATGGAATTCTTTAAAATGAAAACAAAAATAAAAATATTGCATCTTCCCTATTGGAAAGCAACCAGAGTGTATATATTTTTAATGGTTTTTTTAAAAATAAATCTGGCAACATATTTTTAAAGGAGAAATCTCCACACGCTCCAGAATTTCATAATGTTCTATGCTTACTCTGTGGCAGGGGAATCGATACACGCCTTATATGTTATTGGCTTCTTTTTATCGTTCTTCATTCTGTGCCAGGCAGTACCAGCCTCCCTAGCACGAGCACCGCGATATGTTATATTACTCGTTTTTATCATGCTCAAGTGTCAAAATACTGTTCGCGATTAAATACGCAAACCGCCGAACACTGCCGAATGATCACGACGGCAGCCGACGGATGTGTCGGCAACAATCGTTGCTTGTAAACGAATCAAGATTGGGATTATTATTTCCTGGAGTTAAGAGCCCTTTCACATTTTTTGCAATAAATCGGAATTTCTGAGCGCCTCGTTTGCCCCCTTAGAAGAGATTTTGACTACTTCCAATAGAAGTAATCAGTAGATTTATTCTTCCTATTGAAAATTAATGTAGAATATTTTCAAATAATATTTCCATTTTTTTGTACTGATCGTTCTACCGCAGCTAGTTTACGGAAAAAACGATAATATGCACAACTAAAAACGCCTTAATCTCACAATAATGTTCAATAAATTAGATCAAATTAATTACTACGACACCAGAAATATGTTTTTGTTGCAACATAATGTATTAGAATCTTGATTTTCCATCTCATTAATTATTAAAAAAACATCTAACCTCCGTGAGTTTCCCCAAAAAATAACGCAGGTTTACCTCGTATTTTGATATTGAATTAAATAGAATTACTATCAAAAACTGTCATAAAACTAATCTACAATCATTGAACTACTGAAATATGTATATAATTTTATAAAAATTTCATTAATTATTATTTTATAAGACTCTGAACATCACCCGTAAAATGCAATATATAGTCAGTGCTGCCATATCTACCAACTTTTTGGTAGATCTACCAATTTTCACTTCAGTCTACCTATCTACCACCCTAGACCTAAAAACTACCTATTTTTTAATTAGTTTGACATACCACACCACTTTGAATTATTTTTATATCGACGAGCGACGTTGCGATGTATTGCGTGAGCCATGCAACGATGCGTCAAGCATATATAGAGTCCAGGCCATAAACCACAAAAAAAAAGCAACAGTTCGCCATAAGTTCGGCGTTCGCACAATTTCGCGCCCATATTTTACTATTCCTACTGTGGCCTATTTGGTTTGTTGCGGAATCAATGTTGAATCTTTGCTCCTGTTTTATTGTAAAAACTAATTAACTGCGTATTAACGGTGCTGAGTGCTGTTTGTTCTATGTTGCGTTCATTTATTTATATAATGGATTCTGACAGCAGCGAAAGCGATGCACATAGTTCTAGGTTAGGAACTCCGCCACGAAAACCTAGAAAAAGGCACTATGACCAAAAATTTTCGGAATTATGGGAGAAAGACAAGGAATTTGCAGGTTGGCATTAAGAAATTATCATTTTATTGCAAATCATGTAGGTGTGATCTGAAGTGTGCTCTGCATTATAATCTTAAAAAATCTTCTAAATTGAGGTGGTAGATCTACCAATTTTGCATTTTACATTCTACCAACATTTGGCACATAATCTACTAATTTTCTAAAATTCGGGTTGGCAGCACTGTATATAGTAGTGCAAATCAAGACGCCGTTCAGTACGGCGCCAGCGCCTTTGGAGGTCGGACCTGTGTCGCGTTCCGAGCGATGCTACGAGTGCATTCATCGTAAAACTGGCTGGATATACTACGACCGCAAAAGTTTAATCGTTGACTGTATGTAAGTATCCACAACCGTATTGAATTTTATTATCATAAGTACCTACCTAGTTATTAATTATCGTTGCTTCAACTAATATTTTTGTTACAAGCTTTTACAATGGGGCGTAAAATTCCTGCTTACCATTGTGTCAAAAAAAAAACGAAAGAATGATGCAGCCATAAAGAAAGCTTGTGAAGCAAGGTGAATATGCTTATAACATTTCGTTTTTTATTTTTGTGGTTTCAATGGGTGTTTTAATTGTATAAAAATGGTGATTTGTCCGGACTTTTCAAGTATCATTGGTATAAAATTGTAATCAGTCAAGGTACTGTACTCTAACGGCCAACGATTTTAACTTACTGACTTAATGGGTATGTCAATCTATCCTTATGTCTATAAAAAAAGCTAGAGTGCGGTAAAATTTTGCATTTCGATCAAGTATAACAAGTATAAGCTCGTGGGCCGCCAAAGTACATATTGGCCCAACATAATAATATATTTAGAATAGAAATCCACAGTTCTATGTATTTTAGATGGAAACAAAATTTTAATGGTAACCCCGAAAATATTGAAACTATACCGACCATAAGTTCAATGGATTCGATTGCAACGGAAACTGTAAGTTTTTCATGTTGTTA